TGTGGAGGCTGCTGGCAGGAGCCTGCACATGTGCAGCAGCTGCAGGGCTTCATGCATGCTGCGACAGCGGTCTGCTCCTCTGATCCCGGCATGAGCCTCCACAGAGAAAATGGTGGACTGGATAGGATCATCCCACAGGCTATAAACCAGATCGCGTTCTGGGGGAGGATGGGGTATCTAATGCCAAGCACACATTTCTGAGAGCTAAATACTTCCGAACTGTAGCTTCATTTTCACCCAGAGTGGAATGGCATGCTTCCAAGCAATGGGTCCCAGTCCTGACCTTCTCCCTTATACTTGCACTGACTCATTTTAGGTCTGGAGTCACTGCATCAGCAGAATCAGCTTCTGTACAGTTTAGTTGAGAAACAGATATCTTTAGAGATCTTTAATGTTGAATTTGAGTTTTATTTTTTCATAAATGTCATTTAGTTTTTGAAGGACTTGCAGAAGCTCATTGGTTTCAGCCATCTTGAGCTTTGCACTATGTGAGGAGGAGGGAGAGGGGAGGCTTTCAGCCTGCGGTTACATGAACTGGAGGAAAGAAGGTTCTGATAAAACTTTGATGCCATGAAACTTATTTTTACACTGTTGTTGGGTAGCACTGAGATGTAGGTCAAAATGTAGCTCAAGACAGGTTTTTTGAAAGTCTTTAGTAAAGATCCCCATTACTGCTATAACAGTTTTCATTCATGACTGTTAATCCCAGTTTTAATTCTCATCTCTTCCTCTTAAATCCCTGAAGTATTACATGGCTTGTGGTTTAGTTCAGGCTGTTTACTGTACATTAAATAATTGACTTCTTCTAATGTTCTTCCAGCAAAACCAGCCTCTAAACGTCTGTGTACCAGCAACAAGTTTTCTGAAGAGAAGTTTCTGAGCTGAAGACTAGAGTTACGGTAACTACCTCAGTAGTTTGTGTAAGAGGTACACTGAGGTTACCTCTGGTGTATCCTTTGAGTTATTTGAAGCATACTGCCCATGTTGCCCATCTCCAGTGCTGAGATGCAGAATGTGTGTTGCAGCTTTCCTTTGTCAGCCTCGCTTCCTGCAGTTACCTTTTTTTGTTTTTCACTGTGGGATCAGTGAGCAGATTGAAATTGTTGTTACTACAAACAAACTAAAACTTTGCTTTTATGTAATAAATGTGTTTTGGTACTTCTCTGCTCTCTGTTGTTTCACACCCCATGGTAGATAAGTGGCACAGGCCAGGATAGTTTTCTGCTGTGTCACTTTGATAATGTGGGGCTTGTGGTGAAAACAGGTTTTTGTATTTTGTTGGGACTCGTATGACTCTTGCATTGGATTCTCTGACAAATGGGTCTTGTGTCTAAGAACAGTGGATTACCGCTAGCAGATGCACAAACAGCTCCTGTATAAGTGACATCACCTTTTGAAAACTTGACCCAAGATACAAGAAGGCCCGAATGGCCACATGTACTTGTTCCTAGGCTTTTGAGTAAGAAATGCTTTTTAACACTGAGATGTAGTTAGGGATTGGAAGTAGTTAGTTGGCTCCCAACTTAGCATTTTACACTCTTAAAGCAGGAAAGACTAACGCCATTGGCACGTTTGCAGATGAAGCGCACACTTGCATTGAAGTGCAAGACTGAAAACCAGTACCTGGCTCAATGATCTCTTGCCTTGGAACCACATCCTCCTATGGCTTCCCCGCCCCTGCCACCTCCCAGCCTTCCCCTGCCTCCAGCTGCTTCTCTGCCTGGGTGATCTTGCTGACTGGCTTGCTTGTATTCTGCAGGGATTTGAAAAGCCTTTGCCTTTGATTTCCTTCACTTACACATCCAGGCTATTGTTGGGCAGTGTCAACCACAAAGTTTATTTGGACGGAGGCCTCGGCCCAACCTCTCAGTTTCAGATATTTTCCTTCAGTCCCAGCTCGCGCAGAGCAGCTCAGTGAGCAGACGTCCATCACCCTGGTCCTGCTGTTGTGGCTCCATCACTGGGGCCTGCAGCCTGGTGTCCTGCTTCTCACCCAAACAGCTGCTAAGGCCCAAGGATTTTGCATTACTGCCTTTCCCTTGGCTCCACAGCCAGGACTTCTGAGTGGGCCTTTGCAGGTCTGTTGTCCCTGGACTGCATTTATCAAACCAGGGGTTAAAAGTCATCATGACTCACTCCTATGCTGTTGTGGCTCCATCACTGGGGCCTGCAGCCTGGTGTCCTGCTTCTCACCCAAACAGCTGCTAAGGCCCAAGGATTTTGCATTACTGCCTTTCCCTTGGCTCCACAGCCAGGACTTCTGAGTGGGCCTTTGCAGGTCTGTTGTCCCTGGACTGCATTTATCAAACCAGGGGTTAAAAGTCATCATGACTCACTCCTACTATCTGGAAAGCTGCTGTACAGGTCCCTCCCCTGGCCTGCTGCTTCAGCCCCAGCACTCCTCTGCTGCCCTTTACAATAGTACTCAACAGCTTCAACCTGTTTGTGGTCCCGTTGTTGATGACAGGCACGTTGTACCCTCTCCCTACCAGCCACAGCTCCTCAAAGAGCAATGTGTGCTGTGGTTGCTGTCTGCTAGGTTTTCTAACACTGTGTGATTTCCTACCCCTGCCCTGCAGGTTTCCATAAACATTCAAAAGCTGCTCTTGTTCTTTGGTGCCCTCCATGAACCCTGCTGTAGCAACAAGACCCCTGACCACCCTGGAACAATGCAGCCACCCTGTGATCCACATCAACGGGCCTGTCTGTACTGCTGGAAGCTGTAGGTCCCTTTGACTGTGTGCATTGCTTTACAGTCCAAATTTAGGGCTTCCTGGCACTCCTGCGCTAACAGAAACCTGGCTTTAATCAACAAAATGGTTTAGTAAATCTTAAACTCTTAAGAAAGAAATTTATCAGGGGTGGCAAAAGGGACAGGCCAAGTGGGCTTAGAAACATTGTCAGGGTATGCAGGGATTCAACGAGGAAGGCCAAACCCCACTTAGAATTGAGTCTGGCAGAGGACATCAAGGACAAGAAGGGCTTTTGAAAGTCATCACCAAGCATGCAGAAGAAAAGAAGTTTGCTGATGGTACGAAGCTGAGGCGAGTGGCTGATACACCTGAAAGTTGTGCTGCCATTCGGCAGGACCTTAACAGGCTGGAGAATTGGGTAGAGAGAAACTAATGGGGTTCAGCAAGGAGAAGTGTAGGGTACTGCATCTGGGGAGGAAGAACCCCAAATACCAGTACAGGTTGGGGCTGACCTATTGGAGAGCAGTTTAGCTGAGAAGGACCTGTGAGTGTTGGTAGATGATAAGTTGACAATGAGCCACAGTGTGCACTTGCAGCCAGGAGGAAAATAGTATCCCGGGGTGCACTGGGAGGCATGTGGCCAGCAGGTCAAGGGAGGTGATCCTCCCCCTCTACTTGACCCTTGTGAGGCCACACCTGGAGCACTGTGTTCAAGTTCTGGGCTCCTCAGTACAAGACAGACAAGGAGCTAGTGGAGAGGGTCCAGCTCAGGGCCACAGGTATGGTCAGGGGTCTGGAGCATCTCTCTTGTGAGGAGAGTCTACTGCTGGGCCTGGTTATTCTAGAGCAGACTGGGAGGGGATCTCATTAATGCACAGAAATATCTCAAAGATGGGTGCCAGGAGGATGGTGCCAGGCTCTTCAGTCATGCCCAGCAACAGGACAAGGAACAATGGTCATAAACTAAGACACAGGAAGTTTCACCTCAACATGAGGAAGAACTTGTTTATGTTGAGGGTAGCAGAGCCCTGGAACAGGCTGCCCAGGGAGGTTGTGGAGTCTCCCTCTCTGGAGACATTCAGAACCCACTTGGACATGTTCCTGTGCAACCTGCTGTGGGTGGCCCTGCCTTGGCAGGGGGGTTGGACTGGATGATCTCCAGAGGTCCCTTCCAACCCTAATGATTCTGTGAAATTCTGGCACCTCCCCCCACTTCCCTTAGCAAAGAAATCACTGAGTCTGGAATAGAGCTTATTCTTCTCTTTATTACAACACAGAAAAAAATCCATTCATTCAATGCACTCCTCAGAGCAGTATTCAACAGCTATTAACAGGTGACCCATAAAACGTGGGCCAGGCTTTACTCTGGAGGCACACGCTGTCCTAAGCGGTTTCCAGTCTCCTGCAGTTTATACACACTCATGGCAAAGACCAGTCCTGCCACAGGAAGACCATCTCTGCTGCAATTAGTCTACATACTGCTATAAGGAGAGGGGAAGGAACACGTAAGAGCAGCAGATCAAGTGGCAAGGGTCATCCCAAAAGCCAGACAAAGGGAGATTCCTGCCCAAAGAACCTCTGAACACACAACAGAAAAGCTGCAAACGGAGCTAATCAGGGAAAAAAAAAACAAACCCAATTTTGACCACACTAATGACTTTGCTGTGTATCAAGGCTTCTTAGATTTCTTCTAGAGAAACTCACTTGAAAGACTTCCAGCTAAAGATCTGTTTTCCATACAAAGGTAAGAACCAAGGGATATCCATAAGGATCCTGCACAAGTTGTGTCAGCACAGTTCCAAGGTTTCTCATCTCATCCAGCTGGCAGGAGGAAAAACCCACTTGTCTAAACTGGGGAAACTAGTTTGAGGGGAAGAAAATGTAGGCTTGAATATTGACACTAAATGTTATAATCAAAATGGCATTTAAATGCCTGTGCAGATAAAACCCTGCAATAAGAGTAAAACCACAAACTTTTTTATTGAAGTCTGGCTTTAAAAAAAAAAAATTACAAGTGTATTTCTTTAAACCTCAAGTATACACAGCTGAGTTATTCACATCTTCCATTAGATGTGGCTTACTGCTTCAGCCTCTGTCAGCTACATGACTGCATGTGCTACATGACTAATGAGTTTCCCTCTACACAAAAATGCACCTACATTTTACAAAGGCTTTTATTTCCTCTAACACTTATACACAGCTGGTTTTACGCAGAAGAGGGACTGCAGTGTAGCCATTGTGCAGATGGCAGCAATTTTACTCCTCGCTCCGTTTGGTGTCCCCTGATCAGAGGCTGATGCTTGGCGGCTAATTGGGGTGCCAGAAAAGACCACTGAAGGCATCCTGTAAGGCTCGGCTGCAAGCAAGAGAGGAAGTGTAGCCCCCAGCGACATCCTGCGGAGAGGCGGCTCGCACGTGGGCGAGATACCTGAAACAAAGAGAAGCAGCATTTCAGAGCAGAAATAAACACATCCGACACCTGAGGGGTTCTTAGCACAGTCAGGTCAAAGCTGCTTTTTGGGAGAAAGCAAGGAGATGGAGCTGCCCGCTGCCACCTATGAAGGGATCAGGATAAACACTCACTAGCTGAAAGGATGGCAATGCCGACGCACCTTCAGACCAGCTGTCCAGCCAACACACTGCAAAAGCTTGACTCTGGCAACAGGCTGCACAGGGTTAAGTACACTCACTGGGTTGTATTTGGGTACTTGCTCTGGGGGCAGGGTTGCATTTCTCCCTTGTAAGATGATGATGATGACACAAGTTTTCCTGCACTCCCACAGGAGTCCGAGTTTCAGCTCTGCCCCGTTAGTGCTGGGCACCCCCAAGAGCCAACCATGCCCGTTGCTCTGATAACAGCAGGGCTGAACTTTCTGCTCTCAGGCCTATCTGTATCTGCAGTAAGTCCACTGACACCAGGGAATTAGGTCTGTGGGAGGCTGTCATTTTGGCTAAAGCAGCCAAACTTTAGCCAGACTTTGAACTGCACCATGAATTCATCATCATCATCTATGGGCATGTAGCAATAGGGCAAGGGGAAAGGGTTTTAAACTGAAAGAGAGGAGATACAGGTTAGCTATTAGAGAGTCCTTCACTATGAGGGTGGTGAGGCACTGGCACAGGTTGCCCAGAGAAGCTGGGGCTCCCCCATCCCTGGCAGTGTTCAAGAACAGTGTGGACACAAGGGCTGGGAGCACCCTGGTCTAGTGGAAGGTGCCCCTGCCTGTGGCAGGGGGTTGGAACTAGATGGTCTTTAAGGTCCCTTCCAACCCAAACCAGCCTGTGATTCTATCATCTGTGCCATCAAATTTTACACCAAACCAGCCACCAGGCCAATGAGCTGACATTGAACCACGCTGCCTGTGCTAGCCCTGCTGCATGCTCTTGGCTCCCATCAGCTCCTTCCGAGGGCTCATACCCAAGGGCTCCCACTAAAGGTGTCTGCTTGTGAGTATGTGGATGGTTTCCTTCCGTGCTTTAACCCTACAAGTCCTTGCGGTTCACATAAGACAGATGCAAGACCAGGTTCTTGGCTAGTTTTGCACCAAAACCCTTTCAAATACAAAGACAGCCATGGGCCCAGCTCAATGACTGCCGCAAATTCCAAACACCAGATAAAATACCATAAATGAGAACTGCTTTTCAGAGTGGCCATGTGAGCCTCTGAGCTTCAGCTAGCTGTTTTGATTCATCACTTGGTACGTGTTGCTCTTGGGAAGGTTGAGTCATTCCACCTCTGGCTTGGCAATTCAAGCATAAACTTGCAAAATGCATACAATCTTTTATAATGTTATCCTGAGAAACCTAAACCAGCTGCACTTCTGGCAGGAAAATACAGGACCACCAGTAAAATATCCAAAACAGTTGCATCTTTTAATTTATGACTCTACACTGTTTCCATAAAGAGTATATAAAACAGGTCAGATTTTATAGGTAAGACATAATAAACAGTCATACCCATTGAAGCCATAAATGTGTAGAAAAAGAGGTTACTTAGAAATGATTAATTACAGTTTTAAAACTGTATTTCTTGCACCTAATAACCACAATGCACAGACATGAGCAACATTTCTGAGTGACTGTTGGTGATGCTGAAGCTGAGAGACTGAATATGCCTCCTGTGGCCAGGCTGAGGTGAACTCTGCTGCTTGGTACCAATGTGGGACGGAGCCTGGTCCTCACTGCTGGACATGGGTTCCCATCTGCACAGCCCAGACCCTGGGGGCACAAACCCACCTCAGAGTGTTCAGTACAAAGGGAATCGACAAACACGGCAGCAAAGCCAGTCCTGTCTCTTCATCTGCAGGGCAAGATGGTCTACAGAGGGCTCCGGTTTTGGGGGAGAACATGCTTAATGCATTTAAAAAAAAATGTTTAACCTTCTTTTTACTTGCCCCTTAATGTTTTAGGAGGAAAATCTCATTCTTTCCAAAGGCCTTTTGCAACTGCTGTATGAAACAAGAGCTCCTTCCCCCAGCCAGTAACGATGAAAGAATACTGACAACAAGAAATAATTTCCTTCGAAATGCTGGTGTGAAACTATCTCCACCCTCCAAGCCAGCAAGTCTTATAAAAATCAATTCCCCTCTCAGATTTCACGTCTGTCATGGTTTTTCATTGCAGAAACTTCAATTTTCCACTCCTGCGTGGAGCAGTCCAGAGAAAGCAGGGGATTACTTTATGTTTCTGCATTAACAAAGGTTGGTTGTGTGTTTTTCATTACTTTCCTTATCATTAGTTACTTATATAGCACTAAAAGGAGAGAGGCAGAGTCTGTTGTTTCCCTTTTTTTAGGTCATCTGAAATTGGGGCATTAGTTTCATAACACAATCAGATTTACAGCTATTACAGCATTTATGGTTAATTGGTATATGATCTCTGAAGCAATACAAAAACATTGCTAAAAAGACTCTGATCAACTTTTACTATGGCAACCTGCGTTAATTACCCCTACTCCTGTGGAACAAGCACAACAAGCTGCTGGCTGTCAAGTGAGGTCTTTATTTTCTTGTTAAGTATCTAAACTTACTGCTCTTGACCGTTTAATTACTGTGGTACACCAGGCAATTGCAAAGAATCTGCCACGCCGAAGCCACACAATGAGAAGTGAATGTTTTGCCGGCTTTTCCCCACCAATCCCCATCTGTGCAGCCTGAATCCGGCTGTGCCCTTCACAGGAGAATCTCTCTCAACTGGATTCCTGGGGTTTCTGGCAGAGGTCAACACATCTTTTCATGTACACCTTTACAACAGCAGCAGGAAGAAGCGCCTGCCAAGTTTTATTTCCAAAAAGTCAAGCTCCGTTAGGTCTTGGGACCTGGAGGTAATTGCTCTCACTAGTTAGCAAATTCCAGCACACTAGGTCTGTTTTTCATAGGTTTATTTTAAGTATCTGTAAATCTTATAAGCAGAAACCAGGAAAGAGAGGTTTGCTTTTTCTGGTGCACAGTTTTTTAATGTAACTTGTTTTTACTGAGGGCAGACTGAAGTTAAAAAATGCCTGCACCATTATTTCTGAGCAAGGCTAAAGGGACGTGTGTTCTCTGCCCCATGGTTTCACACTTCCCACTCTAGTGCCTACACTCCGCTTCAGGCCCTGCCCAAACAAGCCCCTTTCCTTAGCTGCAGCCCTTGGATGTTGATCTTCCCCATTAACCTTTCATGTCAATTAAAACACATCGTATTTTGTTCTTCATGAGCCTTCAGGGGGCTCATTCCTGACCTCTGGTTTCTCATCACCACGCGGGGTGGGGGCTGGGGGGTAATTTTTAAAAAGCCGCCTGCTTTCAAGTGAAGAGGTATAATTCACACTTGCTGTAGACTCGGAAGCAAGCTGATCACTCCTGGGGTAGGTTTCCTTCATGCTTTCTTTTTCCAAAGGCTATGTCACCATCACTTCATCAGGAATGACTGGGACCGCCACAGAACTACATGGCAGTGTTACCCCCTGTGCCCTTCCACCCGCTGCCCAGGCAGCCTCAGCACCCCTTGGCATGGCCGTTTCTGAGGCACAGAGGACTCAACCACAGCTTGTCAGACAGTAACACCCGAGACCACTGGCAAACGTCCCCTCACTGCTCGGCAAGGGCAGTCTTGTTTCAGAGAAGCTCGGGAAAGACCTCAGAAACGGAGAAGATGGAGAAACAGCACAATCAAACCAGGCTAAAAGAAAATCAAACCAAAACCACCACACACCAAAACATCCAACCAACAAACCAAAAAAACCCACAGTACTCCCCTCCACTCACCCAACTGGAAGTATCAGTGCTTGGGATTATTTCATGCCACCCTCCCCGTCTACCCAAGACAAGTACACTCCACTGGTGTTCCTGCAGATGCATCACTGGATATACACGTGGAGTACTGTGTATTTGGCATGCAGATTGTACTTTTTTTGTTGTATTAGGTATTTTATGGGGGTGAAGAAAAGAAAAATCATTCAAAAACTGTTTGACGGAAGAACAAAAGATCATGTAATTCTATTCCGCAGAATAGATTTACTGCTCATCTGATTATTCGCAGTATCCAAGACAGAAGGTAATGGGGCAGACATTAGATCTGGGAAATATTCCAGATTCATCATATAAATAATAAACAGTGGTTGCATGAAAGCAGGAAAGTACTCCAGTCCGCAAAATTGTGTAAAGCATTAGTAACGCAGTAGCACACGCTGCATTCCTGAACCTTTCTAGAGAGAATTGTTTTCATTAGATTTACCAAGTCTCTAAGATAAGCTATCAATGCATTATTCACAGTATCCCTGCAGAGACTGGGTCTTATCAGATGAGAGGAGCACATAATAAACTTTTCTCTGACCAGTTTCTCCATGAGGAATGCATGGCCTGGGTTACTCTATAGCCCCTGAGCAGGTAAGAAACTGAGCTCTGCCACTCAACTGTTGTTTGTTTGAACCAGTTCTACCACATAGTCGGTCCATGCAGCCAAAGCAGAATTTGTTTATAAAATGAGCTGAGTTCATTGCTGCTCTTCATTACATAGCCCTGGGAAATCCATTTGGGAACAGGCCTTCGCTAGGTGTTACTCAAACCTCGCAGACTGTAACCTGCACAACACAAAACGGGTACTAAAAGAAGTCCAGAACAGCAATTCATCCTTCCACAGACTAGCTGCAAGCCTGACCCCAGGTCTTCAGAAGTCAAAAAGCAGTTTATCTATTTCAGTGGGCACTATCCTTGTACTTGGATCTTAACAAACAAACCGGCTATTATTGGTGTCAGAACTTCCTGCT